ACTGGATGACACTTCTCATGCATTGTAATAGTTCATTGTGATGTGCATAGAATTGCTTATTCAAATTAACTTTGTTAAGACTTCTTTAACAAAGCCTAATTTAATGTTAGATTTTTCTCAGGTGGCTTTAATATCCTGTTACATCCTATACTGAGAAAAAACTAAAGTGAACTTCACCTTGTATTTCATGTTGAGACCAGTAAGGAATGGAAAATGAAGTTTTTTCCTTATATGAAGCAGTGCAGAGCATGCCTGTTGTTCATCCCCAAAATTATTGTACTTAGTAAGCCTTAATTTGATTGTCTAAAACTGAAAAAGGACAAACGTGCTACTCCACAGACCAGCTGCTTTATCAGCAAATCTGATGAACAGCACACGAGAGGCAATACAGGAAAAGCCAGGTACACTAACAAACATCTCTTCACGTGTGACTCATTTTTTGGCACCAGCTTCCCTTACTGAATTCCCAGGAATTCCTCCACGTTTCAGAACTGACAAAAGCAAACAGTCATCTAAGGGCATTCCCAAGAACACATGGGATCAGTTTCTTACTCAAGACTTACGCAGGTCAAATTTCCCTTAAGTCAGCGGTGTTTTCCTCGGGGGAGGGCTGGCTTTGTCCAGGGCATAATCAATACCAAGTTTTCAGTAATCAGATGCAGTGCTTGATTTTAACATACTGATACAATACTACAAATATAACTGCATTACAAAGTACCCTGCTGGACAGCTAACTAAACTCCCTAGTGTTTGGTCTAAGGGCATCACTGCCCATCCGCAGATGCTTGGGATTTCTGAGCTTTCTTGCAGTTTGCTATTTGAACTGGCAGGAAACCAAGCAGATTTCTCCACTACTAGGGCTTCATCACACGTTTCTACAAAATATTTTGACAGTCAGCAAAAGCAATCTTGCTCCAAATTTGTCACTTAGCTCTGACTGTAGCACAATGATGCTGAAAATATAGAATAAAATCTATGTAGTTTCTTCACTTTTCCTACTAACATGTATGAAAACTACAAAGCACGGGTATTTTAAAGCAGGAACTTTACTTTCTTCACAGCAAAAAGTGTCTTAAGGTTGTAGGATATAACTCTGTACAAGTAAAAAGCCAAAAACTGTATTTCCTCAGCCTCCACACAGATTATTCTTTGTGCTTAATCATGGAGTATTTACACTACAAGATGAAATAGCAAGTACACCACAAACCTGTGCATTAGGCACGTGTTCTGCCCCTTTCTGTCACACAGGATCTTCTATGCACATAAAATTCAGTCATATTTTTAGAAATAGCTATCGGACCATTTTGAATGTATTACTCCTAATCTTTTGGATGACCCTTTCTAGCATAATTGAGGTGACAAAAAAATGACTTTCTACCTTGAAAAAGCTGAATTGAATCACAGGATAATTCACACTGGGAAGGACCTCGGGAGGTCTCCAGCCAAAACTCCTGAGCAAAGCACTTCCAATGTTTGACATGCAACTTCTCTTGTTCTGACTTACACCCATTGTCTTCACGAAAGGCTGACATGTTGTAGCTCAGATTTCATATGTACCAGTATCACAAGGCTTCCGATCCATCACCAGTGCAACTGAGTATCTCAACTTTGAAGTTCATTATCTTCTCCTTTTGTCATGTTCCGACCCCTGTAAATTCTTCCACACAAATTCTTCACTGCCGTGTCTTTCTACCCTGACACCTATGAGTAGCTAAGGTGCTAGCACAGGAGGCTGCTCTCTCTCTAAGGTCCTCTGTTTTTGCTCCCTCCACCACCTGCACGTGGTGATTTGCACTTGCTCTATACTTGGACAGATGTGCTTTTTGGCCCAGAAATATCTTCTATGGTTGCGCTGGCCCTAGTGCAATAAGGCTCTGTGAAGAGAAGGCTGAGAGGGGGCCTTATAAATGCCTACAAATATCTTCAGGGTGGGTGTCAGGAGGACGGGGCCAAGCTCTTTTCAGTGTTGCCCAGTGACAGGACAAGGGGCAATGGGCACAAACTGAAGCACAGGACGTTCCAGCTGAACATGAGCAAGAACTTCTTCCCTCTGAGGGTGACGGAGCACCGGAACAGGCTGCCCAGGGAGATTGTGGAGTCTCCTTCTCTGGAGATATTCAATACCTGCCTGGACAAGGTCCTGTGCAGCCTGCTGTAGGTGACCCTGCTTTGGCAGGGGGGTTGGACTAGATGACCCACAGAGGTCCCTTCCAACCCCTACCATTCTGTGATACACAGAGCTCCATGTTGCACACATTATTATATACACGCTTATGCGTATACACCATAAACATTATGACAAAAAATAATCACACGTAACCTAGGCTCTATTTTTGTACTGGTTTAAGGGGTTTTCCTCCCAGGCTGTTCTACCCGTATGATACTGTGGACATAACCAAACCAATCCCAACGCAGCCCAGCTCACCGTACTCGCCTTTTCCCACGACATCCCCTACGCCCGCGCCAGCCCTCGCACAGCGATACCCTTCGTTAACAGGCTCCATCGCTACGCTGCTAATGAAGGCGTCGGGGAGGCCGACCGGCGCGTTTGCTCCGTGCCAGGCAGCCGGCTTCCCTCTCGCCAACCCCACCTCCACCCGCAGGCCCGAGGGTACAACCCCTCGCTGGCCACATCCATTCCGA